TCCCACTTAATGAGTGTCCACTGCCCTGTCTTCAGCCTCCCTTTGGAAAGGAAGCATCTCCTTCTTCCCATGATGAAGAAGACAACGAGTGGTGATCTCATTGGTTGCCTCTTTCTGCCTTTTCTCCAAAGCTGTTTCTTAACCACTCAAAAAATTTACTTAGCTTCTCTGAGCCTCAGTTCCAACTCTATAGGATGGGCGTTTTTCTGAGTACTTGGTACGCAGGTACTCCTCCAAGTCCTGAATGTGGAATAACTGCTTTTATCCTCCCAGCAGTGCTTGTCATCATCTTCTTCATTTTGTAGCTAAGAAAGCTGAGGCACAGAGCACTTAATTGTCCACATCAGCAGATGGGTAGTAGCTACTCTGAGATTCAAACCCAGACACCCCGATCCAGAGTCTGCAGCTTAAGGGTTCTATTTTTCTGCTTTGTAGGGTTGCCATAAGGATATAAATCAAGAATATATGTAAATCCTGTACAATCTATAGCATTTATTATTACCATCAATTATTAACTTATCCCTATTTGAAAACATAGCGTTCTTGCCCGACTGCAACCTACCCATGACTGACTCTAATTGAGGGACACTTATTTAATTTATTTCTTTATATCCCAATTTTTATCTTTTGAAAAAGTGGAAAACTTCAGAGAGTTTCTGGTTATGGTAATTCCTATCATTCAACATATACTGTATTGTTCAGTCCCGAAGTCATGTCCAACTCTGCAACCCTGTGGACCGTAGCATGTTCTGTCCTTCACTATCTCCTGGAGTTTGCTCCAACTCCTGTCCATTGAATCGGTAATGCTATCCAACCACCTTATCCTCTGTCCATATATACTGTATGCCTGACTGGTATTATATCCGTCCATTCCCCATCACATGATCCTATGATATATGCATTGTTATCACTCAGTTTTAAAGGCAGAGAAATGGAGTTTCAGCCAGGAAAACTTTGATTTTAAACTTTTAAACTTTTTTCTTTCTAAGCTGACATAGCCAGGGACTAGAGGAATTCACAGTCCAGGTTCTTACCTCTGTGTAGACACAATGTAGGCTTTTGGCTTCTTATCGTGAGAATGCCGATCCAAAGCTTTCCATTTAGCATTAACCTGATTTTAGTGTCATGTTGCCAGAACTGTTATGCAAGATTCTCTCTGATTTTCTTTGTCAAAAGCAATACAAAGAATGCCTCACCTACCATTCCCAGAAAATTTCTCTCTGTCCATATTTCTCTGAAATGGCTATTCCCATTAGCATACGATGTCTGTGTGTGGCATACAGCCAGAACTTTTCTTTGCTGTGTGTTCTAACAGAAAGCACCTAGTTAATACTCCACAGCCACGTCTTGCAGAGTGGAGTAAATAAGAATGTTTATGAAGCAGACGTAGGACCCGGCTGTTGGGGAAGGCCTGGGTCAAACTTTCCCATAACCGCTGAGTCAGAACGGGGCCCTTTTCGTAAGACTCTGCAAACCTCTCTCACCAGGAGAAAGCCAAGCAGACAAACAAATAAGTAGGCAGATAAATAAAAAAATAAATCATCCAATGTCATGCCGGGGCCGAGCTGCTTTCGCGCCCCTGTTGAATGGAGATGTCGGCAGCCTCTCAGGTCCTGAACTGGCAATTCAGAACAGTTTGATTGCCTGCTTGATTGTTTGCAAGATAACTGCAAGATTGTCAGTGACAGGGTAATTTACTGAAGATTGCCATGTCAGACTCCATGCGAGGGGCTTGCTGGCATAAAGATGCGCTTCTCGTGACTGACAGGCCGCGGGGAGATTGGAGTGCCAATTTCAAGTTCACAGTGTCGTCTGCAAGTGTTTGGCGGCTGCAGCCCATAATCACGAAACATGATGAGGTCATTACAGGCGTAACGTATGCTCACACTTAATAACGGCTAGAACCCCAAATGCATAATGTCTGGAGCAGGTAAATGTAAATATGTAGGAGGACATCATTTATATCCTTTTTATTTTAAGCATTTGCCATCTGCTATTGCTGATGTGTTTGTAGGACATTTCCTGCTGCCAGACGGACCCTTGAATAAAAAGCCCAGAGTCAACAAAAACAGGGAGGAAATTTGAGGTCCCCACTTTTGAAGCAGTCACAGATCCGGAAGGAGTAGCAGACTCGAGGGGGCTGGGAGAAGAATCTTAACAGGAAAGACTGTCTTAAGTTATTATTTGATCCCGACGCGAGGCTCTCAAGCTGCTTGTACAGAGTGGGTGGTAGAGGGTTGGGGGTAGGAGGGGTCACATTCCCGGCTTTGGGAGGAAAAGGCCACCAGAGATGGATAGAACTCCTAATGGGAAGAGGCCGGTGGCCTTAAAGAAATCTATAGTGCTAATAACAGTGGGTTTCTTCTACCTGAGAACTTTCTGCAGCGGCTGAATGAAGCACTGCCAACATATCTCAGCAGGATATTTTTAAATCCAAAGCAGGCGTTCCGTGGTGGATTCCTTCTGTCGAGTGAGGGCAGTCCATGGAAGGCGATGTTACAGGAAGAATACTTGGCTTTTTTTTTTTCCTATTCTTTTTTCATATTCTACCAAGGGCGCTGGGAGGCATCATTCTGCTGCTGAGATATGAGTCTCCAGCACCGTTTCTTAGGTCTGAGATTTGCGGAACTTTGGGGGGTACCCGATTCAGCCAGCATGTTGGACGGAGGTACTCATAGCCATGACTCTGAAAGTCTCTAAATTCCAAGCGTGCATGCCTGCTCGCCCTCCTGTGTCTGCACTTCCAGGAAATTTTGTAAATCTAAATGTGTTACGAGACACCCGAGCAACATTTGCCCATGTGGAAAATGAGAGGCTAGTTTTAGTAATTTAAAGCCGAGCAGAACACACAACCTCCTAATTTGTTTGTTTGCTTAAAAAGAAAGTAATGCATTAAAATCATTGTACATTAATTGCTAAATTACAGTGGAACTTGGGTGAAATTATATATTTCAATTTCATTAGCGGAACCAAACGTAAAGGGTAATGCCAAAAAATTACATTGTAGTGAATTTAAAGCACACAGCCAGGCCTCTGATTCAGCGCTCCAGTTCAAGTGTTCATCAAGTCACAGCCTGGGATTGGAGTGCATGTTTTTATGATGCTAATTATGGCCCCCAAATGCCTCGCTATCAAATCAAGGAGGTGTAAGCAAGTTACTCTGCAAGCTCCTACACTGTGTATTCAATCAACTCCCAGCAGAGTGAAGAAGGACTGGCTAACTAATCCATTCTAATAGGAATCCCACGGCATAAACACTGCCCTAAACATTCCCATCCCCATTCCTAACAGACGTGTGGAGAATGGGAAACAGTCATTTATTCACTCAACAAACATTTATTGGGTCCCAATTCCACGTTGACACTAAGCAAAGCATCAGTATAAAAATGAATGTGACACTGTCCTTCTTTTCAAAAAGCTCGTTTTCCAGACAGGAAGGCAAGCAGACAGAAATAGATAATTCTAGTACAAGGAAGTTAGCGTGAACAATGGTTTCTAATATTTCTGGTACATTAGAATCACCTGAAAATCATGTTTAAAATGCAGATTCCAGGACCTACTCCTGGAGGCTCTGCCTGGGGAGGTCTGGGGTAGGCTCTTGATTCTCCCCTTGGGATTTTGATGTAGAACCATTCTCAGAACCTCAGATTCAGGAATACACAGAACAAGAATACCTACCCTAGCCATGGACATCATCAGGAAGGCTTCCTGGAGGAGGCCACACCTAGTGTGAATCTTCAAGGATGAGTCATATCCATTTCCTTCTCTATACTGTCAGCTCCTTTAGGATAGACACCATCATTCTTTGTTTCCTGTTTTATTTTCAGAACATGAATAGCACTCAAATATTTATCGAAGGGTAGATGACTAGGAGGGTTTCCCTGGTGGCTCAGACAGTAAAGAATCCATCTGCGATGCGGGAGACCTGGGTTCTATCCCTGGGTTGAGAAGATCCCCCGGAGGAGGGCATGGCAACCCACTCCAGTGTTCTTGCCTGGAGAATCCCCATGGACAGAGGAGCCTGGCAGGCTGCAGTCCATGGGGTCGCAAAGAGTCAGACATGACTGAGCCACTAAACACAAATGACTCAGGAACGAGTGAAGGAGCAGGAATCTAGGCAAATAAATCAGATTGTTCAGAGTCCTGCAGCTATGGCAAAGGCAGCTCCAGGAGCAATTGGGTAAAATAATGGCTTAGTTTGTGGATGCTCATGCCAAAGCCGTATCTCCACATTTCCTGGAAAATGTCACTCATCACCCCCTGGTGCTCCCACTAGTCAGTACTACCCTCCCTGGCTTAGAGGAAGTGGGGATGGAATGCTTTTCTCCACTGAAGCAGGATTTAAGGAATCCCACGCATTTTGATGACTTGCATACCCCTTAACATGGGTCCCTGAAATCTAGCAACGGGTAATTTTTTTGTGCTATGTTGTTTAAAAGCAAAGTGTTAGTTTTTATTGCCAGCAGCTCAAATAATACTTGTTCATGATAGAGAAAGTAGAAATACAAAAGTTTTAATACAAAATAGAAAAAGAAAGAGACACACTAATCTATACTACCTGGGGATAACCATTTGTCAACATTCTTAACTTACTTTCGGTCTTTTATTTATATTGGAAATATACTAGGCTTGTTGTAGGAAAGCTGCCAGGTCAGGCCTTTGGGAAGGGTCGGGGCTGGTTGGGACAAAGATGCTGACATCTCAAGGACTTCCCTGGAGGTCCAGTGGTTAAGATTCTGCCTTGCAACTATCCTTAACCACTGGATCCCACATGCTGAACAGCGGCTAAGGCCACATGCGGCAACTACTGAGCCCTGGTGAGCTAGAGAGTCTGCAGGCTACAGCGAAAGAAACAAAGATCCCACGTGCTACAACTGAGACCCAATGCAGCCAAATTAATTAATAAAAAAAAAAAGAAGAAGAAAAAAAGGTGCTAGCATCTCGGAGCAGCTTTGTGCCGTGAAATCTGCTGACCCCTGGCTTTGTCTCTGCCCTTCCAGATGGCCTGGTGGACTGCCTGGACCCTGACTGCTGCCTGCAGTCAGCCTGTCAGAACAGCCTGCTCTGCCGAGGGTCCCGGGACCCCCTAGACATCATTCAGCAGGGCCAGACAGATTCACCCGCAGTGAAGTCCTTCTATGACCGCATCAAGCTCCTGGCCGGCAAAGACAGCACCCACATCATTCCTGGAGACAACCCCTTCAACAGCAGGTAGGCGCCCTTCTGTCCCTGCAGGTGGCTGAGGTCACTGCTTCCCTTCCTGTCCAAGCAGGAGGAAGTGCTCCTGACTCTCCTGTGGGATTTGACCCTCTGCCGCCCAGAACCTGCTAGAGACCCCTGTTAACTGCCTGCTTTCTAGATCATTTTGATGATCTATTATTTTATGACATTATTGCTATTCTAAATCTCCCTGATTGTGACTTTTGTTTGATCATCCCTGAAATACTTCATTCATTATTTTTTAATTTAGTTATTTTTCACTGAAGGATAATTGCTTTACAGTATTGTATTGGTTTCTACCAAACATCGACATGAATCAACCATAGGCTTTTAAAGCAGTTGCAAACTCAATGACACAACTTATCATTTGTGGCGTCTTAGAGTCAGGATGAGGCCAGTTGCTACAATTTATTGAGCACCTGTGATGAGCTAGAGACTTGATGTGTATAGATTGACTCTCATCCTCATAGCCAGCCCACCCCCAACGACTGTATCTGCTAATTGCTTACTTGGTGCTAGGCATTGTACCCAGGGAATTCCACTTCTCATTCCAAGATGGCAGCGACAGAGTGGATTCTCTTGAAATTACATTTGCTCTCAGTTGCTAATTTGAGGCTTCTGAGTATTCTGGGGCAAATTCTGGATTTATTTTGTAGACAACTTGGCCTCTCCTTTCCCACCAGGACAGGTTAGAGCTGTACCCTGGAGAAGAAAGCAAGGAGAAGAGCTGGCTTTGAGATGCACACCCTCCTAATCAGTGTCTTCTAGGCGCTGTTTTTTATTCTGAGGGTAGAAGGAGGGCAAGGAGAGGCGGCAGTCTTGTCCTCTTCAGGCCTGCCCACACATCTCTGCTCTCACTCTGGGTCAGCCTGGATCCAGATAGCAATGGTGTCAGCAGATGTGAGGACAGCCAGGTGTGACCTTCTTGGGGATGCCCCACCCCATATTTGTGCCCTTTCTTGTGGAGAAATAAGAACTGGGAACCTCTAGAAACTTGTCCCCATCCCCTTATTCCTCTGACAGCCTTCATCATGCAGTCTTTCTTTTAGTTTTCTTCTCCCTCGCTTAGGTCTGGGCAGACCCTGAAGCAACTCAGGAAATATGCTGTTTAAGCAGGCTTCCAACTAGAGACAGACATAGCGAACTTTACATTTGAGAAGAGCCCCTGAGTCTACAAGAGATTGTCTTGGAGCCCCCGTCATTAGACTTTGGGGACGAGACATCACCACATCACAACTCAAACTCTGGTCCTCCCTGGGAGAGCCTGGTGAGGGTGGGAGTGGGGAGGTGGTGGGTAATGGTACAGCCAATTAATTCTGCAGCCCCTTAGAACTCCCTGGGAAGCTATGTAGCCCCAATTCATGGCAGCTCTCTGACTATGAGGGTCTTAACGAGGTCATCTTGGGCCAGCAACTTGAGCCTCTCTCTGTTCTGGTTTCACTAAAAATAAAATAGAAGAGAAAAAAAATAATCTCAGCCCTCGCCTGTTTCAACCCTGACATCTTCTGGCTGTGTCACATTAGGCAAGTGATTTAACCTCATAAACTTTATTTTCTTGATTGGTAAAATTAAATTAGTAAGTGTAGATTATGCTACACACAGTAATATTATTTCAATATGAGTAACCCTCAAAAAAAAATAAATAAGAGAAACCACATATCTTGGAACCAAAAAAATATTTTCTCTGCTTATTAATTCCTAGTTCTGGGGCAGAGACTGTGTTGGTATGTTTCTTTTAAATTATGGACATGATTCCTATTGCCAGGATGACAGGCCCTTGCATTAGTCCGTAAGCATTTCAGTGAGGTTTGCATGTGTGTGCGTGCTAAGTTGTATCTGACTCTTTGCAGCCTTGTGGACTGTAGCCCTTCACGCTCCTCTGTCCATGGGATTTCCCAGGCAGGAATACTGAAATGAATTGCTTCCAGGGGATCTTTCCCACCCACAGACCAAATTCAACCTCTGTTACATCCCCTGCATTGGCAGACAGTTTCTTTACCACTAGCGCCACCTGGGAAGTCCATGAGGTTTGCATACCATTTGATTATACTATAAATGCATCTTTCAAAGGCTCATACGCTGTTTCAGTCAGCTTCCTACTAACATTTTATTTCTCCCCTAAATCCTTTAATTTCCTCATATTCTTTTCATACTCTTTCTTCACTAATGCCTTAAAAGTCAGTCTTATCCTCCTCACCAGTCATTACCACTCCCAGAAGGCACCCTGAGATAGAGCCAAGAAGTTGGGGAGCAGGCAGGGACTCCAGAATTTTAGGTAGACTATACCAGCCCCAGAGATCTGGGTAAAAGAAACTTGCTTTAGAGACAGCTTATCTGAAGCTTTAAAGGCAGCAATCAATAGCACCACCCAAATGAGCCCGCACTCCAGCATGTCGGCTTGGATCCATAATTCAGAAATGCAAAATGTTACTCCAAGACATAGGTTGAAGTTCACTAAGCATGTGAATTTCAGTGCATTATCCTCTGACAAATAATGAAGGACAAAGCTCGGAGTAAAAAAGAACTTAATTCAAGACTTCTAAGAAGGCGTTTCCCCTAGATAATGGCATACAAAAATAACTAAAATGCCTTGACTCCACCACTATAATTTATAGAGCAGATCTCACTATCTAGATAATGTGATAATTGTTACACATCAATAATCATAAATAGAAATGAACTGATAGCATGTCTTAGCTGAATCTTTGCTGCGAATTGACTGCCTAGAGATGTAGGAAGCCAGCAGCAATGAAGAATTAGAAAAATAGAGGGTAAAAATCATAGGCAACCCAGCTCTCTTTATTCCTATGTCATACTGCAAAGTCTTGTGCTGCAGGAGTGATTTAAAGAAATAACAGTCGTATTAAAAAGGAGAGGGGGGAAAAAACTCCACCGTGGGATACATTCCCAATTTTGTTTTCTCATCACAAGAAGCTTGTACCTTGTGGTCATCAGCACACATCATTGATTTTAAAATAGTGTCTAGGAAGGCCTGAAAGAAATCTTAGTCTGAGCTAAGATAAGGAAAGGGAATTGAACAAAAGAATTATTTTCATAAATTAGTTTTCCACTTTCAAAAGACTCTAGCATTGTGGTTAGAACCAGCTAAAAATGGAATTCATTTGTTAGGCAGCCAGTCGCAGACAATTAGAGCTGTCAGTGGAACAGTCTGAACCCTCCTGAGATCATCAAAGGGTCGGAGTGGAACAGTGAGGGGGATTGCTAATAGAAAGGGAGGTGCTTGGAGAGAACATCCCTCCAGTTTTCTGGTCACTTGGGATTGCAGAAGTCAGTGCTTTCCAAAAATTGAGCAGACTTAGACAAGATTCTGGCACGGAACGGGTCAGCTTTATTACCTAGTCCAGAAATTGGGAGCGTGTCCAGGAATCTGGATGCCTGAGAACCTCTCTGCCTTCACCAAATTGCCCAGTGGCTTGAGGGCCAACGATACAGCTGCGGACCTGCCTGGTAGGCTGGAGCCTCAGTGCAGAAGTGGAACTTCTCATTCGCCCATTTCCTATGAACTCAGGAGAATTCAGGCGAAGGGAGACATGTGCACTCTCTCTCCATGGATTTTGAGTAGACTATTGTAGCATGTCTTTTTCTTTATAAGATTTCCCCGAAGGAGCTGTTTGAATGCTGGCATCCTTGGGAACATTCTAGTTACTATAATCTGAATAGAGGGGAGGTTTCTGTCACAGGGGCCAAAAGTTGAGAGGGATTTCAACCACTTCGCCTCTCCCCTGCCCCAAATCAGGGTAGCAGGAATTTGATGTAAGAGAGATATGTAGTTACATGGAATCCAGAATCCAAGATAGTTCTGCTGGAAAAAAAAAAATCTCTCTAATATTCTCTTTTCCTCAGGCTGTCATGGATTGTGAGAAATTTTACTTTTAAAGGGCAACTAAAAAAAAAAAAAAACAACAATGTATGTATATGTCCTGGCCTTGTTAAAAACCTCTGTGTGCTTCCCTTCCTCCCCATTCCCCACTCCCTCTATCATCCCAGCCTGAAGGAAAAAAGTAACATTGCCTTTCTCCAAAGCCAAAAAAAGGAAATGAGTAGGCAGATGGGGAAGCTCTCACCCGAGGATAATACTCTCTGTGCCAGGCTAAGGCACAAACATGAGTGATGTGGGGCAGCCTGGAGCTCTGGCCAAGCAAAAGCCAAGTGATGTCAAGAAACGGAGTGAGGCCAAGGGCAGAGGGGCTGTGCCCAGGGGACCCCAATGCCCAGAATGACTGAGGATGCTGCCCATGGATCTCACCCCAGACTGCTCCTCAGGGAAAGCCAGCATTGAGGCACCCCTCTTGCCCACAGCTCCCTGTAATCGTGTGAAGCCAGCAGTTCACATTTGAAAGTCTTCTCCTTGCCTTAGGGACCAGATGAGGAAGGGCGGTGGGGAGCTTTGGCAAAGGAGAAGGGGAACTTGACAACGATCCTCCCCCCACCCCCGTCCCCTTGTTCTCCTGAGTGTGGCTCAAAAGCTTGTGTTTCTCTTTCTCTCAGTTTGGTTTCTCTCATCCGAGGCCAAGTAGTAACTACAGATGGGACTCCCCTGATTGGTGTGAACGTGTCTTTTGTCAAGTATCCAAAATACGGCTACACCATCACCCGCCAAGATGGCACGTAAGTAGCTTTGTGGGGCTCCACTTACTTAGGATTGAGGCCACAAAGAGACAGATGGTGCAATGGGCTTGGAACCACATGCCTCCCCCTTGCAGACGGGGGGGAGACCCACCAGGCCAGATCTCGAGGGAGAATCCCCCCACCAGCTATATATTTTTTGGTATGATCTCAGAAATGGAAGATAACTAGAGTAGCCAACCTCTCCAGGGCTGCTGACAGCCATGCTTTTTCCATGGCACGTAAATGCTTTTCTCTGGGTGTGGGTGTGGGTGTGTGTTGGGGGTACGGTTCAGGGTGGCAGAGTCTAGAAGGAAAGGAAAGTAGCCCTTGGAACCTCACTCCTGTTTTCTTTTAAATCAAAGGCCATGCAGGGTGACAGGGATCCCAGGCCACAGTGTCCTGTGGTGAACCCCTTCTGCCTTCATCTGTGACTTTAGGAGCGGCGGTGTGTTCGCTTCTGTTTTGAGGGGGTGGGATGTAATCAGGGAAGTCTAATTAAATACATTTAGCCTTCACCCTGCTGTGTGAAGGAGGCAACCTTACCCTATTATCTTCTGATTGGAAACCCGCACCCGTGCAGCCCCCGCCAAGATGAAAGCGCTGTCATTTCCTTAATCCGTTGGGCATGGAGTTGCAATTTAGAGAAAAAGATAAAAAGAAGAAAAGAAATCTATAGGAAGGGGAAAACATGCACCCACTCTGGCCTGAAAACACACAAAGATACACACACACACACTACTATATTGTATTTTAAATGAAAGAGGAGATTGTGGCTGTAAATCTGATGCAACACTTTTTCTATAAAACTGCAGTTTGAAAAATCATGAACAAATCATGTACTCTGATTCTCATCTTTTCTCTGGTGAAGAATCTGGTCTTTTTTTCCCCTAATGTCCTAAAATAGCCTTGTGGGTAGTTTCAAAAATGACCAGCCCACAGCAGCCCTATCCTCCTATTTCCATTTCTGAGACTCAAAGAAGGCATCTGATGATTCACATCAAATTCTTAATATTCACCGGGTTTCTGGTGTCTTAGATCTCGTGTTCTAAGATTTGAGCCAAATCTCATTATTTGAACGCGGTAGAACCGTGAAGGTATACTGTAAAAGGCTACCTGAGCGCTTGTTCGTTCTCAGCAGCCAGCGTTCTTGCCCTGTGAGTGCTGTGATAATACTAGAGGAGGTTTCTGAGTCCTTGGTCTGCTGTCTCTCCCACCTCACACTGCCCCATCCTTCCTAGCTGCTTCCAGATTAATTATCACCTAAATCCACTTCTCAGATCATGTATCCAACCTCCCAGATTGGTGATTCTTCAGCTTGTCCAGGTAGCAAAGCCTGGAAGTCACAGGATGTGTTTGGAAATGCTCCAAGGAATCCCACAATCTGTTGTGTAGTGCTGTGTGCCACAGACTGGGTGGTTTGAATCTATCATCCCAAGAAGAAACAATGTTGCTTCAAAACATTTCACTCTCCTGCACTCTAAGTAAAAAAAAAAACTCCCCAGCAGTGTGCATGCCCTAAAATAAAAATATAAGCAAATTAACAGAATAAACTCTTCCATCATGATATTTACCTTAATACTCATATACTCCCTGTTCACCCATTTTATGTCTATTGAGAAACACCAAAACTGTTACCAAAATTGAATGAAGTCAGAGAGTCTGTATATTTTCATTTTTTAAAATTTTTATTGGAGTATAGTTGATTTACAGTATTGTGTTAGTTTCAGGGGTACAGCAAAGTGAGCCAGTTACACATATACATATATCTCCCCTTTTTTTTCATTGGGTTTTTACTGTACTCTAGGAACTCTGCTAAGTGCTGGGGATTCTGAAGTGTGTGGAAGACAGCACCACTGCCCACAAAGAGTTGAGATCCTGGTGGAGGAGTAAAAGGTCAAATTGAGAGACTTCTCTCCATTGACTTTCTTTTCCTTTAACTGGGGAAGAACTACCTTTATTTTACTTCACTAGTAATAGATTTCCATATAGCCTGAAAGAACAAGCAGAAATATAGTTTATGAACAATTGTCAAAAATGTAAGTAACAGTAAGAACCATTTCATTCCAAATGCCAAATAAATTTGTATGCTGGAAAAAATATATCAGAAACAAGGTAAAATGGATGAAGGAGGTTAAAAAGTCAAAACTTCTTAACCAACAAAGACCTACTGTATAGCACATGGAACTCTGCTTACTGTTATGTGGCAGCCTAGATGGGAGGGAAATTTAGGGGAGATTGGACACGTGTATATGTATGGCTGAATCCCTTCATTGTTCACCTGAAACTGTCACAACATTATTAATCGGCTATACTCCAATATAAAATAAATTTTTTTTAATAGTACAGACTTCTAATAATAAAATCCTGGGATGTATGTACAATGTGATAACTGTAGCTAATGATACCATATTGTATAGTTGAAAGTTGCTAAGACAGATCTTAAAATTTTCAGCACAGGAAAAAAAGAAATTGTAACTGAGCTTGGTGATGAATGGATTTATGGTGGTGAACATTTCACAACATATACAGATATTGAATTATTATGTTGTAGACCTGAAACTAATATAGTGTTATATGTCAATGGTATCTCAAAAAAAGTTAAAGTTCTGTGAAACCAAAAAAAGAAGTCAGAAACAGCACAGGTTGATGAAAAGAAAGCTTTCCTGAGCCTAGGGTCAAATCATTTTAACACCACTAAGTAGTAAAGACTCCTATTAGCCTAGCACAATGCTAAATGCTTTATAGCAGTGGTGAGGGAGCATTTTCTGTAAAGGGCCAGATTGTATCTATTTTAGGCTGAGATGCCATATGGTTCCTGTTGCAACTACTCAGCTGTGCCACTGTACCCCAGAAATGGCTGGAGAGAATAAGTCAATGAATGGGCGTGGCTGGGATTCCCACAAAACATTTTACCAAAACAGGTGGTGGGCCGGCTTTAGCTCATGGGTCTAGTCTGCTGACGTCTGCTCTGAATTCGTGATGCTATTTCATCCTCTCAGCCACACTGTGAAGTCGGTATAACTATTCCCATTTCACAGATGAAGAAATTGCGGCAACTTGCCCACAGTCACACAACTAGTAAGTGGTAGAGTTTGGGCTCCCACCCAGCCCGTCTGCTGACAAAGCCCGCTGTCTCCTCCTGCCCGCTCTGCCCGTCCACTGCCCTCAGCATGGAGGTCAGAGCACCCCCCAGTCTGCAGGTGAGTTCAGCCCCTCTCAGTGAGCCCACCTGCCCCTCTCCAGGTTCGACCTGATCGCCAATGGCGGCTCCTCCTTGACCCTGCACTTCGAGCGGGCCCCGTTCATGAGCCAGGAGCGCACCGTGTGGCTGCCATGGAATAGCTTCTACGCCATGGACACTCTGGTGATGAAGACAGAGGAGAACTCCATCCCCAGCTGTGACCTCAGCGGCTTTGTCCGGCCGGATCCTATCATCATTTCCTCCCCGTTGTCCACCTTCTTCAGTGCCACCCCGGGACAGAATTCCATTGTGCCTGAGACCCAGGTAGGAGCTCCGGGTGCCGGGGTGGGACTCTCGATCCTGCCCTGACCCAAACCTGCTGGCCAACTTCCTCCCACCATCTCTCTCTCCTGGGGTAAGCCAGAAACTACTATCAAGGGGGAGGGACAAAAAGTAAGGACACAGTAGAATTTATTGTTGCTGGAGAGAAAACAGAATCTCTCCTGGACATTCCAGATGTTTCCAGATAGTTGTTCAAGACTTTGGCAGTCACTGGAGCTTTTAATAGAATAAAAACGATACACATATGTGCACGCCACCTGCAAATTGCTTTTTATTCCTGTTAGTCACAGAGATACATGATAAGAGGCGCTTTAATGATCTACATCGGTATTACGACAGAGGGCATATTACATTATTGCTTCCCTGTTGCTTTATACCAATTGTCAGTGGAAGTTGCAGGTTCATATAATTACAGCCTCTTGTGGCCTCCTTGCATGCAACTAGCAATAAAGCCTGCTGTTCTTATTTACATCTTTTGCCAACAGTGTGGTTTTAAAAAGAAACACAACGGTGACCAAGAATAATTATTAATCCAAAAATCATAACCTCAGCCCCTTCGTCCCATCGTGCAGGATAAAGTTGTGGTTGTTGGTTTTTTTCTCTCTCCTCAGCCATGGGAAGTGGTTCTGACACCCCACCCCTGTAAGGTGGGATGCTTTGGTGAGGCTGATAGCAGACAGGTAGCTGTGGGTAGCAGGCAGCCTAGCTCCTGGGGTGTGTCTGAGGCACCCTTTCTACCTGTTTCCTCTCCTCCAGGTTCTTCATGAAGAAATTGAGCTCCCTGGTTCCACCGTGAAGCTCCGCTACCTGAGCTCCAGGACCGCAGGCTACAAGTCACTGCTGAAGATCACCATGACCCAATCCACGGTGCCCTTGAACCTCATCAAGGTTCATCTCATGGTGGCTGTGGAGGGGCACCTCTTCCAAAAATCATTCCAGGCCTCTCCCAACCTGGCCTACACCTTCATCTGGGATAAGACAGATGCCTATGGCCAAAGGGTCTACGGACTCTCTGATGCTGTTGGTATGTTTCAGTTTCATCCCTTTATTGATTCTTAGATTTAGGCATGCATTAAATTGACAAGTATTTGTTGAATTCCTACTATGTGCCAAGCACTTAGTAGTGCAGTGGTCCATAAGACAGGCAAGAGTCATCTTCCATGGACCTTCTATACTAGTCGGGTAGTCAGATGATAAACATATACTGGCAGGAAAATTTCAAGCAGTGAAACGTACTAATATGAAAACAAAAACAAGTGATGTATACTGGGAAGGAGGGGCAACCATGAGTGGGTGTTCAGGGGAGGTTCCTCAGCAGGTGACATTTAAACAGAGACTTGAAAGGAAAGGAACCCTGTAACAAAAAGAAGAGCTCTTTTTGAAAGACAAAAATAGGCCAGCGTGACTGGAATGTAGTGGACAGGGAGACTGTGTGAGATGGGGAGAGAGGTGGGCAAGGGCTGGATTGTGTTCCAGAGGGCCACAGAACACACCTGGAAGACCAGAGGATGGAGCAAGAGGGCGTCTGAAAGCCACGCGCTCTGTTCTAGGCTTTACTTCTGAAGGAATCATGTGATTTCCTACTTAAGAAAGGCCACCGTGAGAGAAGGGTCCTACAATTATCAGCCTTTGAAGAACTGTGAGCTGTGGGTTCATATCAACCTACCCAGTATATTTTCTTACTTGTAGAAAGCTGTCTGGGATTAATTAAAATACTGAATCCTGTGTATTCTTCACTAATAGGCTTGTGGTTTTCAATAACTTCAATAAGTTTACCAAAATAAGAAACCAGCAAACTCAGAAATGTTCACTGTAACTGGCCTCCAATGTTTATCAGACACTCCCTTTGTGCAGAGCTCTGTGCTAAGTCTTTTGTCTTGGGTGACCACTCACTAACACTGTCAAGAAGGCACTCTCATAATCCTCATTGTCTAGATGGGACAGGAGGGCAAGGTAAGCAAGCTACCTAAAGACACACAACTAGCAGGTTACACATGCTCAGAATAAAGCCTTTGTGGTCTGCTTCCTCAGTGGGTGGTTCAGTTCAGTTCAGTTGCTCAGTCATGTCCTACTCTTCATGACCCCACGGACTGCAGCACGCTAGGCTTCCCTGTCCATCACCAACTCCTGGAGCCTATTCAAACTCATGGCCATCACGTCGGCCATTCCATCCAACCATCTCATCTTCTGTCATCCCCTTCTCCTCCCACCTTCAATCTTTCCCACCATCAAGGTTTTTACAAATGAGTTGGTTCTTCGCATTAGGTGGTCAGAGTACTGGAGTTTCAGCTTCAGCATCAGTCCTTCCAATGAATATTCAGGACTGATTTCCTTTAAGATTAACTGGCTGGATCTCCTTGCAGTCCAAGAGACTCTCAAGAGTCTTCTCCAACACCACACTTCAAAAGCATCAATTCTTCGGTACTCATCTTTCTTTGTAGTCCAGCTTTCACATTCGTACATGACTGCTGGAAAAGCCATAGCTTTAACTAGATGGACTTTTGTTGGCACAATAATGTCTCTCCTTTTTAATATGCTGTCTAACTTGGTCATAGCTTTTCTTCTAAGGAGCAAGTGCCTTTTGATTTCATGGCTGCAGTCACCATCTGCAGTGATTTTGGAGCCCAAAAAAATTAAGTGTCTCTCACTGTTTCCATTGTTTCCCCACCTACCTGCCATGAAGTGATGGGATCGGATGCCATTATCTTAGTTTTCTGAATGCTGAGTTTTAAGCCAACTTTTTCACTCTCCTCTTTCACTTTCATCAAGAGGCTCTNTTTCTTTAGTATTGGAATGAAAACGGACCTTTCCCAGTCCTGTGGCCACTGCTGAGTTTTCCAAATTTGCTGGCATATTGAGTGCAGCACTTTCACAGCATCATCTTTTAGGATTTGAAAAAACTCAACCAGAATCCATCACCTCCACTAGCTTTGTTCGTAGTGATGCTTCCTAAGGCCCACTTGACTTCGCATTCCAGGATGTCTGGCTCTAGGTGAGTGATCACACCATCGTGGTTATCTGGATTATGAAGATCCTTTTTGTATAGTTCTTCTGTGTATTCTTGCCACCTCTTCTTAATATCTTCTCCTTCTGTTAGGTCCATACTATTTCTGTCCTTTATTGTACTCATCTTTGCATGAAATGTTCCCTTGATATCTCTAATTTTCTTAAAGAGATCTCTCGTCTTTCCCGTTCTGTTGTTTTCCTCTATTTCTTTGCATTGATCACTGCGGAAGGCTTTCTTATCTCTCCTTGCTATTCTTCAGAACAGTAGTAAGTTATTGGAGTAACCAGTGCATTTATTGTCAACAGTGGCTAATTTAATAAATAGTATGTCAGGCTTTAGCCAATATCAAAATGATAACTAACATCAAAAAATAGTCTGAATACTATAACACACCCCACGTACTCCAATTTCTACCTTTATCAACACATCTCGTTGACTCTTGTTTCTTCCTTACCTTCAGCCACTCCTCTGCGACCTGTATTTTTCTAAAGCAAGTCCCAGACATCACATCATTTCATTCATAATGTATCAGAATGTATCTCTAAAAAGCACTTTGAAAGTATAACAACATCATCATTACAACAAGGAAACAGAAGAATTTCTTTATATCAAGCAGCCAATCATTATTCAATATTTCAATTGCCTTATGAATATCTGAAAATAGAAGTATTTTATTTGCTTGAATCAGAATCCACATAAGATCCACTGTTTGTAAATGGTTGGTTTCTTCTTTTCGTTATATACGCTGCAGATATACAGCATTATTACTTACCTTCTGTGCACATTACAAAGTGATCACCACCACAAATCTTGTTACCACCTATCACCATACCATTGATCCCCTTCATCCATTTGACCCATCCTCAACTCCCTTCCCCTCTGGGAACCGCTAGTCTGATCTCGGTCTCTTTGCCTTTGTTTTTGCTTTATTGTGTTTGTTCATTTGTGGGGTTTTTTTGTTTTGTTTTTTTTACATTCCACATATGAGTGAAACCATTCAGAATGTTGTCTTTCTCTTTCTGATTGATTTCATTTAGCGTGATACCTTCAAAGTCCTTCCACGTTGTCACAGATGGCAGGATTTCATTCTTTTTATGCCTAAGTAGTATTTCCACTGTCTATATGTACCACAGTTTATTTATTCACTTATCCACCAGTGGGCACTTAGATTGTTTCTATATCTTAACTATTGTAAATACTGCAATAAATATAGAGGTGCATATATCTTTTTGAATTAATGTCTTAGTATTCTCTGGATAAATACCAAGAAGGGAATAGCTGAGTTCTCTTAAAAAATTTAAATCAATGGTTTTCCCTTTCATCTCTGGATTTTTTCCTCAGCTTTAGAAATAATTGACATACATTACTATGTAAGACATATAGTATGATAATTTGATTTACTTATATTGTGAAATGATTAGCACAGTAGATTCAGCTAAACATTTATCTTCTCCTAAAGATACAGCAAAAAAGGGAGGAAAAGGGGAAATTTTTTCTTTTTAGATGAGGACTCATAGGATTTACTTTCTCAACGACTTTTCTGTGTATCATACTGCAGTGTTAACAACAGTCATCGTGTTATACATTACGTTCCTAGTACTTTGCTTTCTTTCCAGTACTTATTTATCTTACATCTGGAAATTTGTACCTTTTTACCGTCTTCATCCAATTTCCCTTTTCCCTACTCTCTGCCTCTGGGAACCTCGAGTCTGATCTTTTTCTATTAGTTTGTTTCATTTTGTTTTTATGTTCCATATATAAGTGAATGGTTTCACTTAGCGGGATACCTTCAAAGTCCTTCCACGTTGTCACAGATGGCAGGATTTCATTCTTTTTATGCCTAAGTAGTATTTCCACTGTCTATATGTACCACAGTTTATTCACTTATCCACCAGTGGACACTTAGATTGTTTCTATATCTTAACTATTGTAAATACTGCAATAAATATAGAGGTGCATATATCTTTTTGAATTAATGTCTTAGTATTCTCTGGATAAATACCAAGAAGGGAATAGCTGAGTTCTCTTAAAAAATTTAAATCAATGGTTTTCCCTTTCATCTCTGGATTTTTTCCTCAGCTTTAGAAATAATTGACATACATTACTATGTAAGACATATAGTATGATAATTTGATTTACTTATATTGTGAAATGATTAGCACAGTAGATTCAGCTAAACATTTATCTTCTCCTAAAGATACAGCAAAAAAGGGAGGAAAAGGGGAAATTTTTTCTTTTTAGATGAGGACTCATAGGATTTACTTTCTCAACGACTTTTCTGTGTATCATACTGCAGTGTTAACAACAGTCATCGTGTTATACATTACGTTCCTAGTACTTTGCTTTCTTTCCAGTACTTATTTATCTTACATCTGGAAATTTGTACCTTTTTACCGTCTTCATCCAATTTCCCTTTTCCCTACTCTCTGCCTCTGGGAACCTCGAGTCTGATCTTTTTCTATTAGTTTGTTTCATTTTGTTTTTATGTTCCATATATAAGTGAGATCATACAGTGTCTTATTCTGTCTGACTTATTTCATTTAGCATAATGCCTTCAAGTTCCATCCATGTTATTGCAAATAGTAGGATTTCCTCCTATTAAGGATTTCCTACTATAAAGAACTCCTACATAGTTCTTTATGACTCAGTAATATTGTGTATTTACACATATACCACATTTTGTGTGTGTGTATACATTGCCATTTCTTTATTCATTCATCCATCATTGGACACTCTGATTGTTTCCAATATGAAAAGGATTGCTGTTTATTCTTCATGAAGTGTTTAGAGAAATTCACCAGTGAGACCATCTGGTCCTAAGCCTCTCTTCACTGGGAGATTTTTGATTACTGATTCAATCTCTTTACTAGTAATTGGTTGTTCAGATTTTCTATTTCTTCCCAATGCAGTCTTGATAAGTTATGCCTTTAAGAATTTTTCCATTTCTTCCAGATTGTTCAGTTTATTGGTATGTAGTTATCCAGAGGAGCTTCTTATGATCTGTTGTATTACTGTAG